CACAGGATGGCTTTTTTCAAACCGAAGATCTGATCATGCCTGGAAGGTCGGAGGGTAGAGCTCAAACGAAGTCCTGTCTCCTGGTACTCCAGGTTGGAGATTTGACTTGAGTTGGCATCTCAGCCGGTAAGACAGGGTAGAGGAGTAATNGGTCCAAGTAAATGGGTCTTCACTTCGCTTCACCTGCTGCCTTGCAGTTTGGTCCTTGTCAGAACTAAAGGCTTTGGTTGAAAACCCTAATCGTTCTGGTGCTTAGTGGCTGGACAGTGTGTGATCGGTGGTGAGTGTCTTGAATTGTGGCTGATCAACTTTCCTTTGCACCTCGCGAAATGCTTCCCTACACGACCAAGCGTCTTGAGTAGCCAATTCTGCTGAAGAATCCTTACATACTGTCTTCCAGTAGCAGACGTGTTATCACACCAACGTGAAAGGACAAAAAGCCAACATTTGGGGCTATAACCAGGTCGGTGAACCACTCACTGGAAGTTCACTTAGAGGAGTTGGCTAAAATAACGAGATTACAAAACAACCAAGAAAAAGTCCATTATGTCTGGCGCAGTCTTGAATAAGCATGCATTCAAATAACAGTTGGTGGAGTTTTCACATTCAGTTTCTACAACCAACCAGCCAGGAACGTTCGTGCACCAGTTTTGGTAATTGTATCATGAATGTCCTTCGATCCTGATGTAGCAGTAAAGGGAAGATTGGAATGTTCGAGTCACTGTCAGTGGAAATATAGAATTTATGAAGCATAAAGATCCAAAGAAATTGACGCGATGCGCGAACGCGCCGCTGTTTGTGATACCGCCACATATCACTTGCCGTGTTTAGTCAATGATGACACCGGTCTCAATGTACCCATCCAGGAAGCCTAATGCGGCCTATGTGATCAAGTCTCCCGGTCAGGGTTTTGATACTTACGTACCTGAGGCTCTCAGAGACAATAATTGATTTCATTTATTTATTTAATCTAAATAATTTGATCCCGTTTGTAAAATTACTTGGCTCCATGATCAATGTAAGTGACGTGCATATGGTTTCGCCCCCCTTTATGAAAATGCCTCATGTAAGAATTGCCGAATCAGGTTGACTCTGACATCAATTTATTTTGCTGACACGTGCATTGTTTCTTTATTCCGCTTCCTTTTTATCGTTTCATTCCCCAGGAGGAACCTCCCTACAATAAAGGTGCATTCAAAATTGAACTGAGTTTCCCGGCCGAATATCCATTCAAACCGCCGAAACTTGTATTCAAAACACCTATTTATCATCCGAATATCGACGAGCACGGTCGCATTTGTTTGCCCATCATTCAGCCGGACAATTGGAAACCTGCCACCAAAATAGAACTCGGTAAGTTTCATTTCACAACCCGGAAAATCGAATCAACTATTTGGGTTTTTTAAATTTTTAAATATGCCCATACTCGCATTTGGAATACAATGTTAGACAAATCATTGCTCTCCATAACTGTGAATCATGTGTTACACTTCATATA